ATTGCTTTATTTAATGGCTTTGGATCGCAGGATAATCTTTTTCCCACTTTGGATGTTTCATGGAGTTGTTGCGGGTGGAAGGTTTTCCTTACCTGCTCCATCTGTCCCCCATAATCGCCAAGTATGTCTAGTTGTTACTATGACCCTCATTTTACTTGAATTAAACTTTGACAAACTAAAACACAAATTTTGTATTTCTGATGTGAATGTTTCAAATTCATAATCAAGTTTTATGGCAATAATTGTTGAGGTTTTTTTGCTTGGACAGTGGGCACCATGTCATGCCATTGTTGCGATACCACTACTCATTGCATTTGAACTGCTTCTCTGTATATATCTTGAGAGTGTAAATGGTATAAAGCCAACACTTTTTTTCCCTTGTTTTCATGTTTATGGGGTTTGAATTTTTTTTTTCATCTCTCTTAGTTAGGTTACTTCACTTCTATGATCAATATTTCAAAATTTTAATTCTTAGTCATAGGTAAAGTAAAACATTAAATTGTTAAGAATGTTTAATTCCTTCTTTGATGGGGCTTGTTCATGAACTTTATTAATTCTTTTGTCACAGTTCATGGCGTTGCTGCTATAAACTTGAAGACTGTCTTTCTTCCATTGTTGGCTTTTGAAATACTTATTCTAATTGACAATATCAGGTACTTTAATGTAAAAAACTTTGTAAACTTTTCATTAATAGTCTGAAAAATCATGGACTTTACTTATTTAACTGAACATCATTGCTTGTTAACTCTTTCTTATGCATTTTCTCATTGTTATTGTGGAACAATATAAGGCTCTGATAAATAATGCAGGGAGTCAGATAGTGTTCTCTATCTGTGGATTTGACAGATTGGGTTCCAAGGTACCAATCTGAAATTTTGGAATGTGTCTGTCCTCGTCAACAGTTGATTTGGTCATTTAGGTTTGGCTAAATGCTAATTTAAGACCAAGTGTTTGGCCTCTTGCTCATATCAGGATCAAATCTATTATTTGTTACAAATTAGTATCTTAATATTTTGAGATTGACATATTAGGACTTTTTGATCGAAATGACCTGTGAAAGACACACTCTGTGAAAACGCATGAACCATTGAAATAATAAGCTGACATGTTAAATTTTAGCCACATGGCATGACACATGGCAAAATTAATTTTTTAAATATAATATGCAAGTTTCTAACTTCAAGTTGAATTTTTTTTGTCATCAGGTGTAAAATCTTCAATAGTAATCTTCAATCTCCAAACCTAACCTCTAAGTAAAATCTTCAATAGACAAAAAAATAACCACAAATATTTTTTTTGTGTGTTCCAAACAAGAAGTTTAACCTTTAGACTAAAAAAGGAGGGTGATTACTGACCTCCAGCTCGACAATGCCAACACCGAGGTTACCTTTAATACCCCTTTTAGTCTTCTTCTTCCTTGGCTTCTGCTGCTGGTTACTATTCTTCATTATAGCCATATCTTGATCTGTTGGAGGTAGTATATACTTCTAGACCCATTGGTAAAGGAAGACTCCCCAATTTGAAGTTAGGGAATTTGAAGGTGAAGGGAGGAGCTTAGCCGGGACCCTTGACCAAAATAGAGGTTAGGTCTTGACTCTTGAGTATGGTTTGCAACTCAAAAATCAATTGCTTGCCTTAAGAGCCCAACATCAAAGGCAAAACATGTCTGGAAATAAATCCAAAGAAACCCAAGAGAAAAAGGGACTATATTTGCTTGTATGGAATCTATTACATCGGATGAAGCAAGGTGTTCTTCAACTCCGGATTTGGTGTTGCTGGGATTTGAGATCAAATAAGCCTATAAATCAGGCGTGTTAAGAATTAAGCTTAGCTGCCCTTTGTCCACTGATTTTCTAATATTAAGCCTTTCTCCATGGATAAAGGGATGATGGTACGAAAATTTTGGGGATTTCTGTTTTGGACAGTAAAGCTTTTGAGAAGAGATTTGGGGTTTCTATTTGGTGAGGAAATGAATTTCTTTTTAAATTTTGAACAAAATTTTAAAGAAATATGAAGTCAAGAGGAGCTGAACTATGAAGAACCATCTGAAGAATTTTTAAAGGAATTTGCAGCAAATTTTGTAGAACAAGCTGAAAATTTTTCTTTTTTTTGTTGTATGTTCTTTTTAATTAATTTTTTTTAATTTCGACTTCCTGTTTTCATTTAAAAAATAAGTATTTTTGTTGTATTTTCCCTTTAATTAAATTTCTTAATTTTTAACTTTTTTATTGACAAAAAGCAGCATTTTCCATGTATGATTACTCTTTAGCATCATGGTGCCATGTTCCATTAACATCTGTCACAGTTAACAAATTAACGGTGCATGTGGTTCAAACTTGAGTTTCCATAAAAAAGTCCTAATATGTCAATCTGAAAAAATTAAGATACTAATTTGTAACAAATAATAGATTTGGTCCTGATGTGAGCAGCAAATCAAACGTTTGATCTTAAATTGAGCATTTAGCCTTTAGGATTTAGCCAAGAAGTGGCGTCACTCGGTCATCAAGAAACAATGTTTACTGGCGTTCTCCATGTCGTTAGACTTGTCTATTTTAAAACTTGATTTCATGTTAGGAAAGGAACGCATCCAAGTTTTTTATTTAATTTTTTTACTATTTAGTTTTATTCAGGGATCAATAACAAATATAGAAGGCTGAGAACAGTAGCATTATCGTCTCATAGGACATAGGCAAATATCCACGTTCACCTTTACCTTATTGTGTATTATAATCATGGGATTACGTGGGCTGTTAGAATTCTGTTTCACACCTTCTGCATTAATTGCATTAGCTCAATTTGTCAGTAGCTTTGGTGAAAAGCCTTAGGCAAGATGGTGAAAAGTTTACATAAGGGAAAAAAAAAAACTTTCAAAGTAAAGAATACAAACTATTGCATTAGCTCAATAGTCAGTTGCTTCTAAAAGGTGAAATGCCCTAGGCGAGATGGTGACTTTTAATGTAAACTTTTCAGAGTAAAAAAAGGTATAGATTGAAGTATATAAATTCATGTTAGACAAAAAAAATATTTGCTTCATTTATAAGTAACATCTGACGAACATTATCCTGTTAGTCAGCCAAAGAGTATGACAGCCAAACCGGAAACTAGCTAGTAATAGTGATGAATGGTTGATAAGTTTCCTGAGAGTTACGTAAGAAGAAGATTTACTGTTTCTGCTAGGCATCCCAGCTCTCATCATTCTTTGTCATTACTGGTTTTACTTTTATATAAGGACCAAAAAAAATTTAGTATGATATCATCATCATCAGGGGATGAAGCCTGCTGAATTGAATTGTTTGTGCAGTCCCTTCTAGACTGAGACCATTATATTTCAGAAAAATGTAAAAGCGAGAAAAGTATAAGTTTCTGGTGGCTTCGTGACTTCTGAATGAACGGAAATAGCTAAGTAGTTAGTATTTTATGGATATTATATTTTTTTGCCTTTTGTAGTAACAAGTGCAAATGGAGCCTGCGATGTCTTAGGTATGTGCCATAGGAATATATCAGATTTGCCTTTCTCCTTCTCTTTGTTATGCTTCTCACTTTAGCACTGCATACTGAAAATTTGGATTAGGATTAGCTTCAGCATTAAATGATTGAAATTTGAAGCTTTTTTTTCCTGTCCTTCCCTTGTTTCCTGGTAATTCAATTTTCTCTCATGTTCTAAGCCATTATGTTAGTTATTGATGTTATTTTTTTTTCTTCAGAATGTGCAGGGCTTTGATGCCAGGAGATGATGAAAGCATTAGTGATGAAACAATTTGGGAAACACTACCCGTAAGTTCTACTGAACTCACCAAAATGGTGGTCCTCTTTTTATGGGGTTCTTTACTGAATTACATATTAAGTATTCTAAGAGAATTGAGAATAAAAAAATGAAGATTCTCTTCACATATTTGATCCTGTGGATTCGTTTTGAACCTTAAGCACTTTCAAGCTATCCATAACGTTCAGATTTAAGTATTTTCATGGACAAAGTGGATAGCCCTGCTATTCTTTCTTTTTTTTTCTTTTGGTTATTTTCTTCTTGTTTTTATTAAATATCATGCAGACAATCAAGAAAAACTATAAAAGGCTTTGAATAGAAGGGACTTTGGGGAATGGTGAAATGGATATTAATAAATTGAGTCTATGAATTAGTGGATAAGATTGGAAGTTGTAACCCCTTAGTGCCTTTACTGTTTTTGTTCTCACTTATCAAAAAAAGAAATATTTAGAATACCTTATGATTTTTTTTATGTGTGGCTACTGTGTTATGTTTATGTATAAAGGCAAACATCTGGAGCATTTTGAGAAACTTGGTACTTGTAATAAAATACTTTTATTATTATTTGGGATGTAAGCCTGTCAAGTAGATATAAGATTGACTGTTAATTAAGCTCCCTATTTATGATATGTAGCACTTCTGGGTTGCAATTTCTATGGTCTTCTTTGTTGCTGCTACGGTCTTCACCCCTCTGAAGTTATGTGGTAATTTCTTTAGTCTGTTAACTTTAATACAATTATGAGCAGTTGCACACAAACTAACAAGGAATATTATGCTTGTCTATTTGAGGTTTATATTCTATTTCTTCATCCAGTTACCTATATCATTCCAGAAAAACACATCACTCTTGTATAGGCAAAGTGACAAATTACTTAATACCATTTTCTGATTCTTTAAAGGTATATGGATTGGTAAAGTTCATGTGGTTCATGACTAGTATTGGATAAACTGGAGTGATCTGTGTAGTTTCTAACTTTCTATAAGAGAGAAACAAAAACAAGAACATTTTAGTCCTGGAGTTTTCAGAAGCTTGAGTGTTTTTCTTCGTAGATTGGATAGTGTATTTTGCTTGAGACCAAATGAAATTCTCAACCCTTTAGGGCAATTTGATACAGGTGATCATTAGTGTGTTTTTCAGTTTCAGAAGCTGTTAATTTTGATACCATCATGTAGACCTAGTTTGCTGAGTTGTCACCTTAGGAGTCATTTAGTCTGTTGTTATTATTGTTATTGTTGTTGTTGTTGTTGTTGTTGTTGTTATTATGGGATATAAGGCTTAGTTTGTTGTTGTTGTTGTTGTTGTTGTTATCATGGGATAGAAGGCTTAGTTTTTTGTTGTTGTTATTATTATGAGATATAAAGCTTAGTTTGTTGTTATTGTTGTATTATTTTATTATTATTATTATTATTATTATTATTATATAAGGAATAATCTTGTGGTATTATAAAGGCCTTTGGTTGTCGGTACTTACTGTATTAGGTCAATCATTTAGAGTGATCTCTTTATCAAATCACCATCTTAACTATCCTATTAATGCAGAGTTGGCATGGGTTGTTGGCTAAATTGCTCTATATCATATCAATAAAATTATAAATCCGCCTCCATTATAGAATGGTGTACTTCCTTGCATACTGATCCTTGATTTGCAGTGGTTTTCTTATTGAGATGTTTCTCTAGCCACAACTTCTGTTTCTTTAATCTTCAAAAATTCTATGAAGTCTTGGCCTTTATGAGAGAGAAGGGGGAAGGGAAAAGTAGAAGGTATTTCTTCATATAAAGTGGTGCAAACAAAGGGATTCATGAAGATCCTGTTTTCTTGGGGCAATAGCATGTTTGAGTGTGTTTATGGTTGGTACTAGTATACTTCAGAATCAAGTTGTAATATCTTTTTTTTTTTTTGGTACATCTAATCTTTCTCTTATCACTCACATGTATGTGTGTGCTTGCATGCATGCATTTTGTGCTTGCATGTTTCCATGCTCACAGAAAATCTGGAAAATTGGGGTCCCAGAATTACAGTTTGGAATCTGCATCACTTCTGAAGCCCCAAAATTTGATTAATCTAACTGCATGAATGGGTGCTTTGGTTCCTTTTTTTTGTTATGACTATTGAAAATTTAGTTGCTAGACTTGTAGTTTGGAGTTTGCAGAACTTTTTGAGGCCATAAATTGATTGATCTAACTTTATTTTTTGGTTAAAATTTCCTTCTTGATTACTGTTTGTGGTTTGCCTCTACAAATATTACAGGTGATTTTGGTGCTCTTGGCTGGTGGGTCTTGTTCATAAATTTTGGGTACAGCTTTGTTGCTTTTAATTTCACTCTTTTTTTTTTTTTTTGAGTATTATTTACCTGTGTTCCTGGAAATAGCACCATGATAGTCTGCTTGAGCTTGAGTGACTAGAAAAAGGTGATGAATGCTAACACATTTTTTTCATGCAGTACTGCTGAGAGCTTTGCTTTTCTTGTCTGTACAAAGTGGTCCAATCCAGTAATTCATAGAGAATCCCCAGTATTAGAATCTGGTTCACCTAGCACAACTATCGGATATATTGACTGGAACAGTGGCTTAGCAGGTATGCCAGAGGAAGATCAGCATCTGGATACAACGTGTAGCCTGCAAGAAGTTGGGGGTCACATCATGAAAATTCCAATAATTGGTTTTCAAGTCCTTCTTTGCATGCATTTAGAGGTATGTGTGTTATTGGTGGTCTTGGCTGTGATTGGTATATGTTATCAATAAATCTAAGATTGTTTCAAATTTTAGGGAACACCTCCTGGTGCTAGACATATACCGCTTCCTATTTTGTTCTCTCCTCTTTTCCTACTGCAAGGTGCTGGTGTGCTGTTTGCTGCGTCAACGTTAATAGAGAAAATTGTACTTTTACAACGGTGTGGGGCTGGCACAGGATTATACTTAAGAATTTCATCAAGAGCCCATGATTGCTTGGGATTCTTGCACCATGGTTCTAGGTACTGATTATTTAGTTTCTAAATAGGCAGACAATTTTGGTAGGCTAGATCTTGCTGTTTATGAAGTGACACAACTTAATCTCTGTCTGTCTGTAAATCAGGTTATTGGGTTGGTGGTCGATTGATGAAGGAAGTCAAGAGGAACAGGCACAGCTTTACCATGATGGGGCTTCTGGGTAAGTATAGTTTTAGCTTCTTCTACCTTTTGTAGATGCATAAATTGTATGTAGGTTTTCTTTTTGATTGCTTTTTAACTCTCCCTACATCTCTGAGTGGTGTACATGCCTGTGTCTGAAAAAAAAAAAGGTGAATTCTGTTGCATAATATTCAAGATGATAATGACGAGGCTATCGTAGTAATTAAGAAAATTAATAAAAAAAAAAAAAAAACTGACCTTTTGACATTGTTGAACCCTATTGAATAAAACTGAACCACGCTGCATTGAACATCAAGGTTTTTGGCCTTTTAGTTTGTTTTTATTTTTGGGCAATTCTAGTTTGAGTGAGTTTTGCACCTTGATTGAGGACTCAAAAAGATGCAAACCAAGGAATTGAACATGTTGTTCATTTGAGTTTTATTTGATTTTCTTTTATTTTTAGGGGGCACTGGAGCTTCCAAAACATGCTTATGGTTTAAAGAAACTAAAACTCAAGAAAAGACTGTAAGAGAACGGCGCAGATGACATAATTTCATGGCGTGGCAAAACTTCTTTTCAGTGTTGTTCATTGTTATTAATATTTTTTTTTCCATTTTTAACTGATCGTAGATTCTGATTGCTTTTTTGAGTTTACTCTTAGTAGTCTGGCTGTTGGATTATTCTTTAGGCTCTCTCACTAGTCACTACCTTTTTTCCTAACCTTTTTCATTGGACTGCTCCATGCAGGTATAACACCTTCTCTGGTTATCCACCTGAGATAGTTAAGAAAATGCCTAAAAAGGATCTAGCTGAGGAGGTGATTATAGTTTTCATACTTTGTAGTTTGTACCACATTTTCTTACATGTTTCTCTTCTCTTTCATGTGATGTTATGGTTTTTCTTTTGACCTTGTGTCAGTATGATATGCTTGCAATTCCAAGAATTTTAATGATCCTGCTCCTGCCTGTACATATATTTTATATGGTATGTTTCATTTCAGGTATGGAGGCTTCAGGCAGCTCTTGGTGAGCAAACAGAAATCACAAACTTTAGTCAGCAGGAGTTTGAGAGACTTCAAAATGTAAATTATCAACTTACCAATGTGACTATGTAGTGTGAAATAGTTAATTGTCAAATTCTGCATTATAAGCCTAATGAAGGTGGATTGAGTTTGTTCTATTGTGCATTGCTGATGTGTGCGTATTCTTGATGTAATGTACAGGAGAAAGTGTTATGTAGGGTTTGCTTTGAGAGAGAGATTAGTATGGTTTTGCTTCCCTGTAGGCATCGTGTTCTTTGCAGGTATAATACGGTCATTCTGTTAATGTGATTGCATTTTCAGATGTATCTGTGGGAAAACACTTATTTACTGGTTGTAATCTTATAATCTGTATATTGATATTTGTATATCTTGAATTAAAGTATTTGTATCCCTAGAATTAAGGATAGAAAATTAGAATAGACAATCCTTCTATTATAGGATTAGTTTTAGGAAGATTTAGTTTTCTAGTTTATCCAGTAGTTAGTTTTTGTATATAAATTTAAGGTCTTTGTATAATTCTTTAATGAGCAGTTTTTTAATATACATTCAGTTTTACTTTTAGTTTTTCACACAGTTTTATTTCTTAGTTTGTTCACATGGTATCAGAGCTTTAGGCACTTCTTGGGAAGAAATTTTTTTTCAGCCTTCATTGCTAAAGTCTATTTCAAGCTTTCATGGCCAAATCTTGTGAAATCTTTCAGTCTTATTTTTTCCTTCTTTGGCTTTCATTGCCTAGAATCATCTCTAGTTAAATCTTTACTATCAAAACTCATCTTAGTCCTGAGAAAGATAATCATGCTAGAGGCAGTAGAATTTGCCACTACTACCCGAGTTGACGAAGTGACAACTAGTAAAACCACTGGAGTACTACAGAAGTCTCTGGAACAAAGAGAGTTGGACAGAGAAGAAATTGAGAAACCAAGAAGCCTATTGAAAACTCTTGAAAAAATATGTTCTTTGGGTAAGGTCTTTAGTTCAGGTAAAGCTTATGGTTTTTATGGATTAAATGTCTCTGTTAAGTTTATTATGAATTCTTGGGTCATTAACTCAGGAGCCACAAACCATATGACACATTTTTCATAGAAGTTTAGTACATATATCGTGTGTCCGAGGAATAAAAAAATTATTGTTGTAGATAATTCACTTACTACAGTGGCAAGATTAGAAGATTTTTAAATTAATCCCTCATTTGTTTTTTAAAAATGTTCATGTTCTTGGATTGTTTGCTAATCTTATATCTATACAAAAATTTATCAGAGACATGAACTGCAATAGTGATTTTTTATCTCTCATAATGTGAATTTCAGGACCAGAGTTCAAGGAAAAGGATTGGACTTGCCAAGGAAAATGATGGCTATACTATTTTAAGACATCAAACAACACAAGTAATATCAAGAATAGTTTACCTTTTTCATTTCTTTTTGAAAAATCTCATAAATAAAGGCAAAATCTGGTTTTTATCATTTTTGTCTTGGACATCTTTCTTTTGGAATTTTGAAAAACATGTTTCCTTCTTTGTTCAAAAGATTAAATGTAAAAAATTTTCATTGTGATGTTTGTGAACTTGCAAAGCATACACGTGTTTTTTTCAATTTGCAATAAAAGTTCTATTCCTCTTTACTTGATTTATAGTGACATGGGGTCCCTCTACAATTCTTAATATTTCTGGTGCAAGGCGGTTTGTTTCTTACATAGATGATTGTACCAGGCTCTCTTGGATATTTTTACTTAAATCCAAATAGATGTGAATAGTGTGTTTTTAAGTGTCCAAAACATGATCCAGAATCAATTTGGAGTGAAAATCAAGAGATTTAGGTTTGATAATGCAAGAAATTATTTCAACGAGAGTTTATCTACTTATTTTCAAAATGAGGGGATTATCCATGAGTCAACTTGTGTTAATACTCCAGAGCAGAATAGAGTGACAGAGAGAAGAAACAACCATATACTGGTCACAACCTGAGCTTTACTTTTTAAAGCAAATGTACCTAATATTGAGGGAAGTTGTTCTCACTACCACACATTATAAATAGGTTACCTTCAAGGGTTTTGGGATTTAAAACTCCTATGGAACTAGTCTCACAATTCTATCCTAACTTTAATATCACAAACAACTTCACACCTAGGATATTTGATTGTACATCATTTATTCATATTCACAGTCATAATAGGGAGAAGTTGGATCCTAGAGTAATTAAGTGCATTTTTATGGGGTATTCATCAACTTAGAAAGGGTATAAGTGCTATCATCTTTCTGCCAAAAAATTATGTCTGCAGATATTACTTTTGAAGAAAGTAAACCATTTTTTACTCAACCTTATCTTCAGGAGTAGACTTTATTCATGAAAGATAAGTATAAAGACTTCTTTTTGCTTGACTTGTCCTCTTCTTCAACATTTTCACCCATTAATTCTTCTTAGTCTAAACCTGTCTTTTCTGAGTCCAAGTCAAACACTGAATTTGAATCCAAACCCATTCCAAACATAGAAGATGTGATAAAAGATGATATTGTTCTTGATTCTATGAAGGAATTACAAGTGTACTCAAGAAGGAAAATTTCAGATCCTGAACTAGTGCAAGTCCAAGAACCTGATCCTAACTCTGGAAATGAGGTAACTACAGTCTTTGACTTTGTTTCTCAAAATAAGTATGAATCTCCTAAAACTATAATTAGTGATTATGATCTAACTATTGTCATTAGGAAAGGAACCGAAGAATGACCAAACAATCACTATACCCAATCTCTAATTTTGTGTCATTTGAAAAATTCTCACTATCCCATAAAAATTTTCTTATGAGCCTAAGCACTATTTCTATTCCAACTACATTATCTAAAGCATTATCTAGTGAGAAATGGAGGCAAGCCATGAAAATAGAAATAGAGGCCTTAGAGAAAAATAAAACATGAGAACTAGTAGAGTTGCCAGGAAAAAATCCAGTTGAGTGTAAATAGGTTTTCACTGTAAAATGCAAGGTAGATAGTATTGTTGAAAGGTATAAGGCCAGGTTGGTGGCTAAGGGCTACACTCAAACTTATGACGTGGATTACCAAGAAACTTTTGCTCCAGTTGCCAAGATGAATACAGCTAGGATTTTGTTATCATTGGCTGCAAATTACAATTGATAGCTTCAACAATTTGATATAAAGAATGCTTTTTTACATGGGGATTTGGAAGAAAAAATATATATGAAGGTTCTACTGAGATTTGGAGGTTATCTAAAGGCAAACAAAGTATGCAAGCTGAAAAGGGCTTTATATGGCCTTAAACAGTCTCCTAGGGCCTGGTTTGGGAGATTTGCCAAAGTGATGTTAGTAATGGGATATAAGTAGAGTCAAGAGGATCATACATTGTTTATCAAGCAGTTGGATTCGGGGAAAGTTACAGTTCTGTTAGCATACGTTGATATAATTGCAACTGGAAATGATGAAAAGAGAGAGCCAGAGAATTTGAGATAAAAGAGCTAGGGAGATTGAAATACTTCTTAGAAATTGAAGTAGCTCACTCACGACATAGTATTTTCATCTCATAATAGAAATATGTGATGGATCTTTTGAAGGGAATTGGGAAGCTATCATGTAAACTTGCAAGTACCGTTGTAGATCCTTATCTTAAACTTGGAAAAGCTAATGAAGATGCTGCTGAAGATAGAGAGATATACCATAGATTAGCTGGAAGACTTATTTTTCTCTTACATACTAGACCTGACATAGCATATTTTGTGAGTGTGATAAGTCAATTTATGCATAGTCCTAAAGAAATGCACCTACAAACTCTCTATCATGTACTATACTATTTGAAAAATAATCCATGGAGAGGTATCTTGTTCAAAAGAAATTTGGGATTGGTACTAGAGGCATATACAAATGTGGATTATGCAAACTCGGTAATTGATAGAAGATCCACTTTTCTTAGGTGGTAATCTTGTGACTTGAAAGAGTAAAAAATAGAATGTGGTGGCAAGATCAAGTGCTGAAGTAGAGTTCAGAACAATGGCTCAAGGAATTTGTAAACTACCATAGTTAAAGATTATCCTAGAAGACTTGAAGCTCAAGTGGGATGGACCAATAAAACTCTGCTGTGATAACAAGACTGCAATAAGTATTGCACACAATTCTATGCAACATGAAACACATTGAAGTGGACCGGCATTTCATAAAGGAGAAACTAAACAATGGGTTGATTTGTACGCCGTATGTATCAACCAAAGGTCAATTTGCAGATGTGTTGACTAAAGGTCTCAACAATGCAACATTTCAAAAAACTATTTTCAAACTGGGAATGGAAAACACCTATTCACTAGCTTGAGGGGGAAGTGTGAGAAATCACTTATTTATAGTTGGTTGTAATATTGTAATTTATATATTTATATTTGTTTCTCTAGAATTAAAGTATTTGTATCCTTAGAATTAAGGATAGAAAATTAGGATAGACAATCTCTCAAGTATAACATCAGTTTTAGGAAGATTTAGTTTCGTAATTTACCCACTAGTTAGTTGTATATAAACCTAAGATGTTTGTATAATTCTTTAATGAGCAGTTTTTCAGTATACATTCAGTTTTACTCTTAGTTTTTTACGTAGTTTTATTTCTTAGTTTTTCCATAGTATCCAAATAAAGTTCGATCCTTTTTGCTCTTAATTTTCATATTTGTTTTATTCTTTGGTGTTATGCTAACCAGTTCCTTTGCATTGCAGTACCTGCTGCGAGAAGTGTAGAAAATGCCCAATTTGTTGTGTCTCCATTGAGGAATGCTTACCTGTATACAATGTTTAATTTCCAAGTTGGCAACCTTTCTGCAAAAATGGTAGTGCATGGCAAATATCAATTAACTTAACAGGTCAGTTGTTTTTATAAAGTTTTCACACTGGAGAGTGTTGCTTGTATGAATTGACATGAGCCAGTATAGAGATTTAGAGAATGAACATGCTATAATTACCACAAGATTTTCTCCCCTTATTTTCTTTTTAACCTTAGGAAATGTAAATATATTTCCTGATAGGAATGGTCTTCTGACCTGGGGTTGTAAGACATGTCTGTTAACTGGATTAATAGTGCAGATGACTTGTTTTCATGCTTTTTTCTTTTTTGGGGAAAAACTGTAGAATTAATTCCACTCTCCAGTATAGTCATTATATTTCCTTTAGTTAGTTCTTTTGCAAATAACTTTTTCCATGCATTAATAAACAGGTTAGAAATTTTGTTTTAGTAGGCTTATATGGTAAGCACCATATAAAAACACAAATATTATTAAAATAAAGTTTTAACAAAATTTAAATTGTTTAAAATATAAATGTTAAAGAAAAAGAACCTCGGCAGACTGTCTAATTACTGTAACATAATATTATTATGATGATGGGATATTATTATTATTTCATAATCATCCATATTAACATAAAATATGAATATATACTGAATAGCCTCATATCTAATTGATATCTTCAAGAAAATATTTCTCAACATATGTAACTAGACATATATTTAACCATTTATTAACCATTCAATTATGCACTCAGGTATTAATAATTAGTTTTGTTATAAAGAAGACCTTTATCTACAATTGCAGTTTCATGTGGTAGAATCAATTTTAATATTAGAAGCAATTAACTAAATGTAAACATAGAAATTATTCAGACATGTCAACAAGTAATTTAATTACAGAGAATATTCTATAAAATTCAATACTAAAAGTTACTTAACCAAAATTATTTTGACTAGTATCAAGTCAAATTGTTTTTGTTGCCTCAAAATTGAATACAGTTCAATTATTAATCTTGTAAAAGCTATTTCAAAATATAGAAACTTCAAATATGTAATGGTACTTTAACTGAAAACAAACTTTTTGGGTATTATTTAATTGAAGAACAAAGAGAGTTTGAGGGTCCCTGAGTAGTGGTTTAGAAAAGGCAAAGAACAGGCAAATAGGTAAACATGGTTTTGAAAGTGCTGTCAATAGGGCAAATGAATGCCAATATTGACCTATTCAAATTTCCCAGTGAAGATTTTAAATGGTTAGAATTTGAAGTGATCGTGGATATGACTTAATTTTTTTATTTAATTTTTTTATTTAAATTTTGATGGAGTCAACGTGAACTATCTATTCTTTAAAACTTAATGCAGTTAGTTGACTCCAGAAAGTGGCTTAGCTCTACATCTGATGACATTTGGCTTGCCTTAATTGGTTCTTCTCCACTCTATCTGATTTTGTGGAATATTTAACTCTATTAGCATGGACAATTCTAAAGATTTATATTAGCCTCAACACAAAATTATTAAATGGTCTACTTACACAACACCAACAATAGTTCACTTGAAATTCTTTTAATTCTTTCCATTCCACCCAAATCCTGTCCATAGTCTCAATCCAAGCAACTCTGCTCAGAACCTCTCCTAGGGATTTCCTTCTCATGTATTTGTCTTTCAACAATTTGGTTTTGTCAGGGGCCACTCAACATAAAACCTTTAAGTTATTAGGTGAGAATTCAAAAATAAATTTTAGTCATTAACATGCTGCCCTCTTGCACATGCCCCATTGGGTTAAAAACTCATATGTTGTTCTGAAATTTAATATTTGGTTGCATATAGATAGTTGAGGTTCTAACTTTTGATCACTTTGGTGAGAAAGACTAATACCATGAGAAGAATCAAAGGACTTAAAAGCCTAAGCTGTTACTGTTAGGTGAGTTGAAAATAATTTTATTCACCAAAAGTTTTGAGTTGGCAAATGTGTCCTACCTTATCATGTCATCCAGAATTTCACACATCAATTTCAGATTGTATATTATTCACACAGGCAGTGTTAACTATGTTCTTGCATTGCGGGGCCAATCCCTAAAAATTTTAGTTTGTGGATCTCTTGATTTAATTTTGCCTACTGGACCAAGTAGATCAATGTCCTTGGATAAATTTCGAAGTGCTTGATGGTTTGATGGATGCTTTTGACTATCTTCAATTGCCATATATTTTCAATCTGCTTTTTATATCAAAATCAAACGGAATTGTCTTGTTTATAGTGATAATAACTCTGGTTTGCACTGGAAACTTAGCGCATCAAATATCCCAAAAACATTTCATTCACATGCTCGAGGCATAGGGGATTTGGAAGAGTGGTCAGACGTTCCTTTCCTTGTTAAAGGGAGCTAATAAATGGATGAAAATGAACATAACACTAACCAGATTGTGCTGATATGAGATTACTTCAAACATTTGTTGCTAAATATGAGATTACTAAAATTGAAATTAGCAAGATACCATAGAAGTCATAAAAGAATTATTGATATGAAAACGGATAGTGAGATCTCTCACGTGCATATCGTCGTGATAGCCATATGCTTCGGGTTTAGCAGCGGGCACAATTATGGCATTGTTGCTCGCTGGCGTGGCTCATTGCTTTGGCATTATCGAATAGCTTCTTGGCAAAGTCGTCGAAGCACTCAGAGATAGTTCGAAAAGGAGTGTCTGGATAGAGAGCGGACTTCAACATCAGTAGGCTTGTCCAAGCTCAAGGTTTATTTGGCAGCCTTTTTTGAAAAATATCACGAGTTAGCGCAGCAACCACGCTCTGTGGAATCCGCATTTCTGCACTGTTAGGCCAGAAAATTAATGCTTAATGGGGCCATCCTTGAAGAAATCGGGTTACGTGTACCAAAACTAATAAGAAATGTGAAATTAAGATAAAACCTTCGGCCCTGTGGAGCAGAACTTCTGTAATGGTGACCCTAGGAAGCATGCAGACGATCTTCTCCTCCAATAGTGAAGCCATCTCGTTCATGTTTAGTAGGATGCTTGGAGGCTGAAAATGGACAATTTTGTTGAGTGTTCGATCATCGTTTATGGACATCATAGTGAACTTTCCGATATCAGTTCCCGCCACAAAGTATGCTTTTCATTCAACACAATATGGTTGAATTAATGCTTATTTAGATAATGTAGACGAAAATGATGAACAAACGAGAACAATATTTATTCAAAATTCTAAAAATCATGGTGAATTGCACAATCAAGTTTCCTTCATTAAAACTTTTGGTCATAGACTTTATTTTTACTACTACTTAGATTTAACGCAAAGATGCTGCCAAGTATGTGCATGCAAAACTCAATTAATTCTTTTTCGTTTGTTTGTTTTTCATTTTAAAAATAGCAAACTGTTGAGGAGTAGGTTGGAACTGGGCAGTGCCGCTCTCAATGACTGGTTTACTCAATTATTAGAAGGGTAGTGCTATTTCTTTGACCAGTCCAACGTCAGAAAAATCAAGAGCAACATCCCAAGTCCAATATCTTTGTTCTAATAAACCAGTAAATCTATTTGGAGGCAATAAATCTGACGGTGGTCGTGTCTTGAGAATAAACTTTATATACCAATTAGTTGGGATTTCTTCTCTTTCCGATTAGTTTTTAAGAAAGAATTATAAGTATTAGGATTTGAATTTAGATTTATTGAATTATTTTTTAAAAGAGATTATATGAATTAATTGAATTATGTTCCACACTATTTAAAAAAAAAAACAAATGAAAATTGTAAATATTTGTCATTTATTTTTTAATTTATTAAATCATACTCAGTTTCAAAACCAAAAATCATAATTGACAGGATCAAATGTTTAAATTTACCAAACTCAAACATGACAATTTCAGTTCTGAAAATTTGTATTAACTCTGTTTTAATGTGATGTTTCAAGCAGCTAATAAATGCCAACTCTTTGCGTTGGGGGTTGAAAGGAAGCAGAGGTTTAGATAAGTGTTAGGAGAGGATGCTCATGTGATAATGTGCTACCTAACCCAACATATCAGTCAATTGCCTCTTTGCTACACTTGACAATTAAACTGAGTAACTGACTAGTGGCTGAACAACAACAAAGAAGAAGCAAAATATCATTCTATCAGCTTGGGAATGTAAGGGAGAGGTTGATTGATTCTTACGACTTTTCCTCTTAATTGGGCCATTAAAATTAGATCCCTCAAACACTCACAAATTTTCCAAGTAGCCAAGCTGCAAATCCTATGAAGAAGTGGGTTAAACTCCTACAAATTTATTAATGTAAATCATTAAACATATTCTTTACCTATTTCTTTTCGGCATTTAAGAAAAAAAGTGTGGTGCATATATTTATGGTATTTACATTTTGACTAAAACTTTTTACCGATAAATGATACTATGATCATTGATTTTTATAATATCATACTGTTTATGCATGGTAGAATTTTTTTTTCTTTTTTCGGCTATGTATCCGTTCCTTCAAATTTAGTAGAAATATCCATTATGGCTATCCAAGAAGGTTCAAAGCAAATTTTGGAGGAAAAGTCACTGAGGGAGATATGCTTTGAATGAAATAATTGCATTAAGCAAATTAAAAGTAGATATCATTATATTGACTACTAAAAGGGTTGGGAAAATATTACTTGGGCAGATTTTTAGGTTTGTTTTAGGCTATTTTGAGGAGAAAAACGGCTCAAGATTTTTAAGTAGAAATACTTAGGTAAAATTAGTTGTTTTTTAGCTAGATTTCTTCAAGATTTGTGGCGCTTGACTTAAATTAAGACTGTTAATACGGAAAACCGTGACCGATGGCAAGTGTCAACCAGCAGCCAACAGCAAATAAATTATGTGAGCTGCTGGGCTAGGACCATTTTCAATATGTTTTCTTTTTTCACTTTATAACACTTTGACTAAGTGCCCTTTTTTATCATTGTTTATCCATTTATTTACTTACTGTGTTTCGGGATTTGCAATATTTCAAAACTCATGTCCCTATTTCCTGTGACCCAAACTCTCACAGTCTCTTCCTCTATCAGAAAAAGCCAGCAAAATGGCAAGGGAGTTGTAGGTAGGCACAGAATGCACTAATTTACTTTTAAAAATATAAGATTGCTAAGGAGATCTGCCACCCAAACTAAGAAAATTCACCAGTATTTATCTTTTTCAACAACCCAGAAAAACCACTAATTAACTCAAATTGTTTGCTTTGCCAAACTCAACCAATGACAAGAATTATATAAGTTGCAGGCAACATTTATTTCAACCATTCAAAACATTTCCCATGTTCTCAACTCTAAATGAAAAATAGATTAAACTCAAGTAAACAAATACAAGCAATCTATATATGCCTTTGATACGATAAGATAAAGTGTTATAAAGAGTGTATATATATATATATATATATATATACACACACATTCATATACATATATATCATATATATACATATATACTTTTATATCAGAGACATTAGCTTCAAAAAGACACCCATGTGGGGGGTTAATTATTTAATTACTCAAATGAAAGATTAGGGGACATTGAATTTCTTGAGAAAACTAAAGTCTCAGGGTCAAGGCATCGATCCTTCTTATACCATTTGTCTATACTATATTGTTTTCAATTACCAACCACATTAAAGTCAAGATAAAAAAATAACAAAAAAGAAAGAAAAGCAAGCTGAGGTACCTTTCACAGCGCCATCACCATAGATTTGGAACCTATCAAGGGGTGGGAGCACATCTGCTGGGTAAGTGTTGTCATGGTAAGGCCAGGCAGCAATGGTATTGTAGCATATGTAAGTGTCAGGAATCCAGACATATCTATCTGCCTCCTAATCCTCCTCTTTTGGTCATACATCGTTAGTAGAGATTCAAAAAACGGGTTGATAGCGGAATAGCGGCCGCAAAATTGCGGTAGCGCTGCCTTCCGTCACCGTTAATAGATAGAAAACGGTTGAAAAATTCATTCACAGCAAAAACAGAGAATAACGGCCGTAAATACGACGTAACAGGGCATAGCGGGCAATAACTGGATCATTATTGTCAGTTATTCCGTTTTTCTACTCACGGATCTATAGTTCTAAACAAAAAAATACAAAATTTTACGTCTGTAAAATAAATCAACAAAACCTACAAAAGTAAAAAGTAAAAGTCAAATCAAAAAATAAAAGTTCACAGCCTCACAATCTCAGATCTTTATCACCTCAAAAAGAAATTTTAAAACGAGCTAGAAAAACAGAATTTCAAGTTCAATCTATTCAACTGATATTTTCAGGTCATTCAAATTCCAAATCAACCTCAGTTTTCAATCAACATTCAGATCAACAAGGTAAGAAAGAAAGTTAAAATTACCTTTTTTTTTTGTAAAATTTCTGTAAAATGATCGATCTGTTGTGTCTTGTGAAAGTTTGAAAGACGAATGAGATATCCGTAGATACTAGGTAAGTCAGCAAGTGATAGTAACAAAAAGATGTGAGAGAAAATGAGAGATGAAAAAAAAAATTTTCTGGAAAGTTAGAGAAAGTAAAATGTAAGACGAAGAAGAAGATGAACAGAAGAATGGAATGTTTCTAAAAGGGTCTCGGCTCGGGTTGTTAGAAAGAATTAAACAATTTGATATATTAGGCACGTGAAGAGATTGAATGGGGTGGGGAGGATTGGGTGTGGGGGGGCGTTGGGGAGAAGGTGGGGGAGGATTGGGTGTGGTGGGTGTTGGGGGGGGGGAAGGTGGAGAGGGATTGATGGGGGTGGGGAGGGATTGTGTGTGGTAGGGTGTATGGAGGGTGGGATTGAATTTTTTTATTTAATTTTATAATTAATTTTTGAAAACTTTTTAGATAAAATTTAATTAGTGGTTTTGAAAATTTATAATTAATATAATATATAGATATTTTAAATGAAAATTTGATAAAATTTTTTGTATAAGTTAGATGAAAAATAATTAAAATTAAATATTATATTTTGATTGTGTTATATTTAATTTATAATTTTTATATGAATTTTAATTTTTTTTGTTGTTTTGATATTTATATTATTGTTAATTCTTTTGATATTATATTAATTCTTGTTATTTTTGTGTAATTATTGAAGATTGTGTTTATTATATAATTATTAAAAGTTGTTTGTGATAAAAAAAAACTTATATCAATTATTGTATCAAAAAAAATTAAGTTACTTAACCAATTTAGCATGTTATGATCTATTACTCTTATTAAGATTAAAAAACTAAAAAATAAAAAATATAGGTTTGAAAATTTTATTAAAATATAAGTTTGAAAACTTTTAATTTTTGAAATTTTTTTTAGATAAAATCTAATTAGAGGGATTGAAGATTTATAATTAAAAAAAAAATATTAATAATTTAATATGATATACATAGAGATTGTAGATGAAAATTATTGATAAAATTTTTTATATAAGTTAGACAAAAATTAATTAAAATTAAATATTATATTTTGATTGTGTTAGATATTAATTTATAATTTTGTATATGAAATTTAACAATTTTTTTTGTTGTTTGGATATTTATATGTTGTCAAATCTTTTGGATATTAATTAAATTCTTATTATTTTTCGTGTACTTTATATGAAGATTGTTATTTATGTATATTAATGGTGATTTGAAGTTTTTGTGGATAAAAAATTAATATCAATTAGTACATCTAAAAAGATTAAGTTATTTTAATAATATTCTTAAGATATAAAATCAAAAATTAAAAAATTTAGCCGTAAATCAAATTTTTAACGATTCATAAGTAAATTAATATTTTTAACCACCTATAAGTTTATTTTATTTTTATACAAATAGTATATCCACGACGTGAAGAGTTCCCAGAGTAAAGGAGTAGATGGGCGCGTCAAGTGATGATCATACGTTGGCATTTTGGAACACCTGTGCAAATCAAGAAAATGTTTCATGTAAACTTTGTGGT